GGGTGAGATTTTTTTAAGGATAGCAACTGAGAGACTCGACTTTGTTTCTTTGGGAAGATTATGGGAATCGGGAATAGCTGTGGAAGAGAAACAATCAGGTGGAAAACAAACAAACAAACAAACTAAAATGTGTTTTCAGCAGCTTTTTGCTGTGTTATCTAACTGCAAAGGTGTTAGGTGTTCAAAAGCATTTGTCCCCTAGCAGACTATGGAGATTTAAAAAAAAAAAAACCAAACCAACATAAATATTAGTTATCTAGAGACAAGGGTGTTTCCAGGCATCCTGAAACACACTCTGGTTCTAATAGTTAAACTGTACAAATATCAGTGTTGTTTCAAAACTGAACATTAGTGTACATTTTAGCTGATTGATTTAATCAATTTGATGAGAATTGAACATATCAGGTAATTAAGCCTTTTTACTGTGTAGCCCATTAATCCAGAAGGCTAAAAATCCATCCCCTCCTAGTACAGTACATCCCGTAGCGCAATGCCAGGAGTCCCTCACGACACAGAAAGACACAACAACACCTTGGTTTCACTTTGCTCCTTGGTCAGTGGTGGAACAGGCGTGTTTGTGCTGTGTTTGTAGAGTTGGTGTATCTTTGCACGTTGGACTCGGTGATGTTCAGAAATCAGAGCGTTACACAAACCACTGCTTGTTTCAACTGGAGTAAAAGAGAAATGCTGGACGGGTGAACTTTCTTAACCCAGCTCCAGAAGCCAATCAAACAGGCTGGGTGTCATCTCCCTGCCCTCCTCGCTGAGCTTGCAGTACTGCACCACGGCGTGGAAAATATCCCCCACCTTCCAGGACTTGCGCTGAACCAGCTGCACAACATCCAAAAACTAAATAAAAAACAACCAAAATGAAACACACTTAGGGTTTGGTTAACGTTTTCTGAGGTTTTGTTTAATTTATACACACAGCCTGCTGTTAGTCCTTTGTAAGTGCAGTGCTCTGGGGAGGCAGTGAACACCATTCGCTGCACAGCAACATAAAGGTTCTTTCTGTTTATAAAACTGCATTTGTGAAGTTCCATAACTCCCCAAGGACTGACTGGATCTCAGGCCGTTTTCTAAATTAACTGCTTCCATCAGTTATTTCCTATTTATTGCAATGAAAGTAAGAACAGGGAGAGTGAGTTTGATAAAGGATCGCTGTTTCCCTCGTTATCATCAACTCACTGTCAAAATAACGGAAGGGTGATTATCCATCTTAAAGGAAAAAGAAATCTTTCTTCATTACCACTGGCTATATTTAATTTATATTTAGTTTTCTGTATTTCTACGTATACATTCCATAGTATTTTAAATATTCACATAGGTACTGGTGATAGAGAATTCTGCGTAAAATTTTGTCAGGTGAAGACATTTGCCACAGCTGTAGTTGGATCGCAGAGAATATCTGTATTTGGTGGGTTTTTTTTAATTTCCAGAGAAACCAGAGGTTAAATATATGTTCTTAAACAGCTGTAAAAAAAAAAAAAAAATCCTGAATTTTGTCCACTTTGTACTTAATAACAGGCTTCACAGTGTCATCCATCTGGTCCCTTTTTTTTTTTTTTTTTTTTTTTTTTTTTTTTTTTTTTTTTTTTTTTTTTTTTTTTTTTTTTTTTTTTTTTTTTTTTTTTTTTTTTTTTTGTGAAACACATAAATTAAAATCAAAGCTTTTTATTTCTTTGAGTTTCACAATATCCAATTAGCTTTCTCCTTCTATGTTTCCACTTTTAAACCACACGAGAAAACACTGTGTGTCTCTAGTTAGTGTAGCTGTTTGCTATTTACATACTGAAGCCTAAACTTTTAATATGTGTTTTAATGATGTTTAATAGGCACGTGATTTCCAAGAACGCTGTTGTAGGCAGGATGTGCTTCATTATTCTCTAGTGTATTTTTGCAATTGAATTAACTGTTTGCCAAAGCACATGGGTAAAGCTGACAGCTGTTTCTTTAATTAGATGCAATTTGGACTGTTGCTGTTGAATGCATTTTAAATGATGTTTATGATTCCCAAATGCATGTACTCAAGAAAATCAAACAATATCTCCGCTACTCAAAATGATCTTCCCCTAAGAGACCAAAATACTGATTTGTACGACTTTTTCCATTAATTGCCTTGAATACTCTGACATACTTTTTAACCTTAAAGCTCGAGCTGTTCTAGCTGACCTTGGAAATGGGTCTCTTGGTCTTTCCTGAAACCATCTGAAGCCCTTCAAATGTAGCCACACAAAGGGCTCTGTCAATCCTGCCTTGGGCATTGATACTTAATATATATCATATCATTGATAGAAAAAGTGAGCAGCTTCATCAAAGCATGTTACAGAGACTTTGGAGGAGGTCTCATGGTGATGCTGTTTCTTATGCCATGGACAGTCGACTAAATATTTCACATTCCTTAAATTCTGACACGCTTCTGCTCTCATCACTTTCTCTGATAAACGGTAGTATTGTCATCTTGCTGTAAGGAAGACGTTTTTTCATCTGCTTTTAAGCTCAATTACTTCAGTAAATCCTAACTGCTACAGTGATTAATTAACTGATTCCATAAATATACCTTTTCGATTCTGTTTTCCTGAGATTTCTTAAAATAGATGGTTGGGATTCCCAGCTCAGAAGCAGCTATCCACTGCAGGGTGGCTCGCAGCTCCACATCGGGGCACTCCGGTTCCAGATCAAAGTTTATCACCAATAGGTCCTTTTGGCAGTTGGCTGTTCCCACTGAAAGCTCAGAAGTACTTTCTGGAAAAACAAGCCCAACGAGTTACTGTGCAGTCACTTGTGTTAACTACAAATTGTGTGCTTTAATTGGTAGGGTGTAACTTACCGTCTGTATTTTCTGTCTGTTCTTTAAGGAAAACCTTTTCTTCTACTAATTCACTTAGAAACAAACAACAACAAAGCTTATTAGTCACACTTAGGAACAGCCTACAACATTGCTTCATGATGAATAAACTTCTCTCTCAATGTAAGACCTAGAAAACTGCAAGAAAAAAGTTACACAGGATGAAAGAATAAAATGCCGACCATATTTAATTTATTTAATCTGTAAATCAGGAAAAGCTGTGGGAATTGCAGCATTATTCCTGCAGCAGGATGAAGTACTTGAATTGTTTGTGGCATGTGTTACATTTCACCAAGATCTATGTATCTTTACAATTTACATAATGACAAGCAAATGACATTATGGTAACACACAGCAAGTCTCATAACCTGGCTGGAAATTCCAAATTTCCAATGTCTGCATTTTGCAGTGTTGTACTCCCTGGCTGAATCTTTTCCAGTCTTGCAGTCTAATTTTATCTTCCATAATTAAATACAATCATAGCTATCAGTGACTCCTACTGCTGCTGGTGTAAAATGTATTAGCTGTTTGGATAAATGAATTCTGTTTACACCTTGCAACATTTTCCAAAGATTCACAATTTCTTATGTACCATTTCCTTAAACTACAGGCAAGTGGTCACTGCTTTAGCTTCCATCCCTGAGCACAATATCTGAGCTCTTGTACATGTGTCAGGAGACTGTAAATTCACTACTGATGTCACAGCTATTCCATTTGTTTCATCACTCCTGGAGGGATTGCGCTTCCAGCACACATTTCCAGGCTGCCCCATTCCATCTTGCTCTCAATCAGGGGGGAATGCTGCAAGTGTAAGATTTTGTTCCTGGCATGGGAGGATTGTGTAGTGGTTACTGAAAGATGGGAAAGAATAAAATAGCAGCATGCAACCTATAGTTTGTCTTGGGTTGCAGTCATAAGTGTTTAATAACTTCCTTATCATCAGATTTTTTTTTCCCCAGTTTTTCTTTTGAGCAGCAAATGACTTTTATTTGTGGTAGTAGAAACTTCTCGTGCCTATTGGCTAAGACCTGAATGGCCCCTGGAAGCTAACAAGGAGACTTAGAACTTTATCCCTCTCGTCCTTGGAAATATAAGGGAGAAGGGACACATTTAGGAACATGTGTAGGAGGTATCACTGCTGATGTGAGGATGGGAATGTTTTAACATTAGTCATGGAATCAGCAGCTGAAAGAGAACACATGGAACTCTACAGAGTTGTGAATGCCCTGATTTCTCACAAAAAAAAAGAACCTCTTGAAAGCAGGGCAGTTGTAGCACAGCCTGGTAATGAGCAGTGACAATTTTCTGATGTCACTGCCTTCACAGAGTTCCAACGTTCAGTGTGTGATGTGCAGCCTAAGCACTTCTTCAGTGGCTGTGCCCTGGCTGTGTCATGACAGTCACCAGCTGGCAGGTTGTACCAGGATCTTCAGGCAGGTACTTGCACATCTCTTGATAATTTAATTGCATGTTCAGCAGAAACATGCCTGGAAACAATAGGCAAGATGTACCGTGGGGCAAAATATTATTATTATTATTGGAAAGAATGCAATTATATTTTTCTTTGTCTTTAATGGATCCTTATTTGCCTGACCTTACTTGCTGTAACAGTGGAATTTTGGTAATGTTTGAAGTTACTCAGAGAAGAAGGTTCACACAGCAGGAAACTGATACAGCAGAAAACTGTCTTTTAGGCAGAGTGGTTGATGGACCAGTATCTCTTGGCAGATCCACCTGAGTGGGTTTTCCTGTAATCTTTCACTGTCTAGTGCTCTCAATCTCCACAGACACCTGCATGTGCTTTTTTTCTGGAATTATGAGCAGGCACAGCAGCAGGTGCAAAGCAGGGCTTGGCACGCTTTAGGTGGCATAAACAACTTGCAGTTAAAATTGGACTAAACATCAAGTCTCACTTCAGTGACTACTTACTTAATCATAGGAGAAGATGGCACGTTCTCCTGATAAATTTCCAGGTCCATAATGCCAAGACTGCTAGTTGTACTGCTGTTGCCATTGCTGACAAAGCAAAAGTTTAAATATTAGTGCCAAGCTGTGCTGAACACGTCTCCATACATCTTTTAAAAGTTTATTTATGTACAAAGCAAAGGGAGGAGGCTGCCTCCTGTTATGCAGAGTTCCACAAAATCAATTGTGCTCAGCAAGTGGTTCCCAGAATGAGGCACTCTGGTCTGCTCAAAATAACGAGGCTTTTATTAAAATAGTTCTAGATGGAGCATGTATCAAGTGCATCAGTGCATCAAGTGATGCTGTAGCCTGCATGATAAAAAGAAGGGGGCTCTCCTCTTGTGCGTGCCTTATGCAAGGAACATTTGGCCTCAAATGAAAAATCCCTCTGCTTGAGTCCATGAGAAGAAGTTTAGCAGGTACAGAGATGCCCTGGAAGAAACCTGCAGAGACTGAGGTATCTCTGAACACAGGGAGTTACAGCAAGACCCTGGCTGCCCATCATGCTACTTACCTGTTAGGTGACACCATGCCTGTAACCAGCAGGGGTTTCAGTGTATTACATCATACCCCAAATGCTGTGGGGGATCTGATGGAACCCACAGGTACAGAGATGGCCCCTTGTGTTTCTGACTACTCTGAAAGACTGAGATTTTAATTCGAGCCAGTGCTCTTTGGGACCAGAAATACAGAGAAGTATTCTCTTTGGCTTCTTCACAAGTATAAAGCAGTACATCTGAGACTATTTGCAAAAAATAGTACCAGTTCACTTTATAGCATCATTATAAATGTGACAGTGAATGTTTATGCAGATATTGTAATAGTGTCATGAGCAGGTTGTGAATTTGCTGCCTGCGAGTCAATTACCAGGAACAAATTCTGTGTGCAAAGTCATGTTGAACCACTTAATTTTTACTGGGAGAGCAACTAATATTATTTTCCCTTCCATTAGAAGGATTGATTAGACAGTTCCTTTCCCCATCAGGCTGTTCTCAGTCAGTGCCAGCATGCCATGTATTCAGACTTGCTGTAGCAATTTCTGTTTCAGTGCAGAGCTGAAAGGCACAATCCTTCAGCTCCCTCAGACCCAGCACTTTTGTCAAAGGTTGCTACAATAATAGGATGAATGTTCAGCTGCCAACTGACAGACATGTTTTCTTCAGTTCTTTTTAAGTGGCCAACGGTGCTTTCTGACAGAGACTCTTTCTTTTTCCCTGCTTCATTACCATAATGTCTTCCCTCCTTGTCATGTTAATACTCAAGAGAAAGATGTAATTACTTGACAATGTTTTAAAACCTAGTCTAAGAGCATATGAAGAAAAAAAACTTCCCTCAATTTCATGTCGTGAAAGGGCTGAAGTCAAACTACCATCACTTTATATGAACTCCAAGGGCTAGATAACATTTTTAAACACATATCCTGACTTGAATACGTACAAAAAGCAGCACATGGCTATGGGAGCTCTGGAATTTTTGTCTACTCAAGGGAACATTGGTCACCTTCTGTTAATCTGCACTAAGTCTAAGCAGATCAGGGCTCAGTCTCTGCCCTCTTGGTGGGAATAGCAGTCTCATCAGCCTTGGCTAAGGAGATGCCAAAACAAACATTATACAAAGAGTAGCAAATAAATCAAAAGAAAGACTGCAGCAATTAGTTTGTCTGATGGCCTTTTTGCTGTAGGACTGAGGCACTTCAGTGGTGCCAGGAAGTTTTTCCTTTGCCTGAATCTGGCTGCTCACCAGTAATAAAAAGACCTGGCTTGACAACCCAAAGGAAGATAATTTGTTTTCCCCCCCTTATTAAAAAATAAGGAGATAAAGTGCACCATTAGACTTTGTTTACAGTATTCTGAGTAAATCTCGAGCTGTTGCCTCTCCCTCCTGATGCATGGCAGGGAAATCACTGGCTGGGTTGATAGACCACATTGTGCAGTGAGAACAGACACCACGGGTACCTCATGGATCGCTCGCTCAGTTGCAAGTAGCTGCTTGTGTCGTCAGGGTTGTCCTCATCATTAGCTAGCTGGGACCAGCTGCCAGTGCTTTCTTCACTGCTGCTGAGATGGTTTGAGAATTCTTCAGCTGTTTTTGTCTCTCCTATGATTTCTGCATCCGACCTGCTCTGGGGGCTGTTGCTGGCGGGGCGATAAGGAAGGCACGTTGATGTTATAACACAGGCAAGCAAACTGGTGGCACCAACCTTCAGGCAGTGCTGCTCATTCAACTCAACCCAGCTGCAGAATTCTATAGATGCAAAAGACTGGGCGTGCTTATAGTTGATCCATACAGTCCAATAGAACATGTGGTCTGGGATGCTCTTAAAAAAGGATTTTCTTATGACTGCTACAAATAAACACAAACCAAAGTAAACATTGTACTGAAATATGCATAGAAATGGTTTAACTTGTGCAAAAGGATTTTAAATGTATGAAGAGAACTGATCACTGCAAGGGTCTGTCGTTTAATGCGCCTCAGTGGTTGAAATATATGATATATGTTAGTGCAGAATGACAGCATTTCTTGGAAATATTCACTGGCACTAAATCCCTCTCCTACAAATGGGTGAATAAGTTTCTTGCTGGGGCTTTTTACTCTCTTAGCATTGTAGATCCTAAAGAGGCCTAGAAGTAAAAGTAGGAAAGTATTGTGGGTTGCAAATGACTAATAACTCCCAGCCTTCTGTGTCCTTGGATCTTTGCTGCTCAGGCTGGGGAAGGACAAAGTATTCCAGCAGGTAGTCAGAAACCATACTGAATATGGAACCCAGTCTGAGTTCAGAAGGTAACAAGGGTTAAGGGAAAAATGCTTTCTAATTCTGGACACTTGACATACGTCATGTACACACAGGTATTTATATAATTGTGTATGTCATGTGTATGTACACATGCTCCCACAAACATACACAGAAACGAAAAATAAGAATTGTATTTATGGTAACTTTTCAGAGCTAAACTAGTCTTTTGATACACAGAGAGAAAGGTAAATACAATCGATCCCCAAAACAATGATACCATTTCAGCACCAGAATATTAATGAAAGCGAAACTGTAGTTTTGTTCTATTCACTGGATGTTCTGCATTTGCAGCTCAGTGATTACAGCAGTGCAATGTGAACTGCCAGCTTTCTGCAGGATCTCTCTAGAGAAGTTCTTGCTTTCAGACCTGTACCTAAGTTGTAACTGAGGCACTGGTCTTCAGTTAGAGCAAGAGATTGCACCAGGAACACTGTTGCTCCCGAGTCACCACCTTGATTAAGAATATCCTGAGACAATATCATTGTAGATGTCTCCCTTTGCCAAGCTCTCTCTCTCAGGAGTTGTTGCATTAATGCTGGGTGACAGAGAGAGAGGCAGCCTGTGCAAGGAGAATGGGAGTTGTTTGCCCAAGGGCTCTGCTCTAGCAGGCAGGGAGCATCTGCCAAGTGACTGTGCCTGTCATCCCTGACCCCTCGGGGGCAGAGCTCAGATCTGCCCTCACACGTGGGCTCTGAGCAGCCAGCTTGCAGGGAAGTGGTGTTTTTATTCAGATTTTTAATACGGGGCGGGTAGCTCCTGGTACCTGGTCCAAAACACAAGAGACTTCTGTGGGTGATGCTCCTTGGCATTTTGGGTTTTCTTAGATTCATTATGCGATTCCATCTCAGAGCAGCGATGCTTTGAACTGACAGTTCCCTACTTGGGAACAGTCACTTGGAACAGTTTCTGTGTGACAGGACTGGGTCTGCTGCACTACCTACATACCAGAAACAGCTCGTTTTTGTTGCTGAAGACCTCTTCCCCAAGCCTGCACAGCTTTTTTTTTTTAAATTTTATTTTATTCCTAATTGACTGTATGTCTGCTTGATATTTTGCCTGGAGTCCTCTGTGCCTGTATCTGAACTAGCAAGTAGTTTCATGCAGTAGGAGTGGATCAAAGCAATTGCTGCTAATGCTTTTATAGCTACATTATGTATTTTTAGGTTTTCACTTCAGACTAGATAGACTTGGTCCAGCCAGCTATGCCACAAATGCTTCAAATCTGTGTGAAGAACCACAGAGAGCTTTGCCTTTCCAGCAGGGGTACGAGCACATCTGGAACACACTCGGGCAGCTTCTATTTGAGATTGCTTTAAAAGAAACCTGCATTGCATGCTGCAAAGAAAGCTGATGTATGGAAAGGGAACGAATCGATTCAGAACTGCAGTACATTGCTGAGCCAAAATGCTCATGTGGTGTGGCCTCTGGTTACTTATTCAGCCCTACCAATCCTATTGCTTGAAACATCCCATAGGCACTTGGGGCACAAGAAAATTTGTTATGAAAGGGGTCGTAAACAGCAAAAATAACTTTGTTTTCACAGTCAAGATTCCAAACAGGGGGATTTCTAAATATATCTTACTAAAAGCAGGCTGCACGTTAAGGAAGAGGAAGGTGAGTGGGGGAGAATCAGTATGAAAGACTAGTGACACTATGATAATTATCCATCTAACTGTTAGCATACACAGGAAAGTAGATATAATATATGTACTTGCTCACTTCAAGCAGAGCAAGTACTTCTGCTTTCTCACTTCAAGCAGAGCTTTGTCAAATGCCAAAACAGAGCGCTGCCTGGAATAAAATGAGCTACAGAATGGTTTCTAACAGGAGTACCAGCACTTTCTCCACCACTCTGAGATAAGGGGGTGCTACTGTGCTCCAAGGAACTGGCAGTTTAGATACCATTAAAGTAACGGAGACAATGAAGAAGTAGAGTTAAAAATATGCCTTGAGAGAGAATATTGCTCTTAATCTCAGAGCACCCACAGCAATCCTTTACATTTGCACTGCAATCTCATACTGGGCTCACACTTTGCCACAGTCAAAGCAAGCTACAGATTTCTTAAGAAAAGGAGTACAGCTGTAAGGAGAGGGTGGTAAGCTGTGGTGTAAACTTCATGAAAGGGCATTAAAATAAAATGAAAAAATTTTTTTTTCTCTATTTAAGTTCTACCAGAGAAGTCTTGAACTTAAAGGAGGTGAGGGGCATTACTTTTAATATTTTATTTCCTTCACTGAAGAATTTTTCTTACTTGTAGCTCCAGACTGTAAACACAAATCTGAACTTCAAACTCTCAGAAGTTTGGTCTTGTTTTCAGGTACACAAAACATTAGTTACACAAACAAGCATAGCAGAGAACTACAAATTCTGCTACCTTCTGTTATACACTAACATTGATTTTTATTTATTTATTTTTTTTAAATTGAGATATCAGCCAGGGCTACATGAAAGTTTAAGCTTTGCCTATTTTTCCTGTCTCGACTATGGGAGACTTAAATATCTGTAGGGAGAAAACTTATTTGTTAGTAAGTTTGAATGCTAGAACCATAACGTTGCCATATTTAAGTTTGCTCCAGAAATCAACCCTCTCATACTTGACTGGCCGATTTTATGCCATCAGAAACCTGTAGTCACAACTTAACCTGTTGGTTTCTTTAGAAGTTATATTCTTATCTTCCTCCTTTATCAAAATAACTTTTGCTGGGAAAATAAACCACCAAAGCAATATGCTGATTTGCTGCTTTGTCCCTTACCTGTTTGCTGGGGAACTGGAAACGGCGTGTTTTCCATCCAAAGCTTCTGGAGGCTTTTCTTTGCTTTGATGCTCCTTTCCAGAGGGGCCACGCGAAGTTAAGGACTCTGAGTCTTTGTGTGGCTCATCCCGTTGATCCGTTTCTATCTGAATTAAAGGCACTTCCCTGTGCTGACCTGCAGGGAGGCTCCCAGGGCTCTTCACCTGCTCTTTTTTCTCATCCAAACTCACTTCTTCCGTTTTGGGTTTTGACTGTGTCTGAGCTGTGCTCTGGGGGCGTTTGCTTTCCGGCACGTGCTCTCGGCTGGTGTGGTCGCAGGAATCCTGCTGGACAACAATTAAACTCTTGCCGCTTTCAACAATATTTGCAGCCAGTCTTTTTGCATATTGTTCCACGTGGGGTGGGGAATCGCTGTAGAACTGCTCTGCCTCTGCAGGCTCTGCCTCATCCGCTATGATTTTGTTCTTCCGCATCAGAGATTCGATGGAGCTCGCCCACGTCTCGTGAATCAACATGTCTGTTATCTGGTCGGTCTTGCATCTTTGGTACAGGCACGAGTCAGACTTGCAAAGACCTGAAGAAGCCACGGCACTGGCTGGCTGAACGCTTAAGGAGTCCTGGCGATGGTGGGCGAATCCGTCCAAGGAATTCGCCTTAACTGGGACACTAACTGTAAGCCTGGAGCCTGACAATCTGCTGTCAGGCATCGACGACTGCCTAAAGCAAAACGGTGACCGTAGAGAGGGCGGTAGCAAACTGTCACACCAGTCCTTCGAGTTCCGGGGGGAGGACAGGTTATCTTTGTTTTCCCTTTCGATTTCTCTGAGCATGTACCTGTAAAACTCTTCTGTTATACTTTCTGTGCTGGACTGTTTGGACGGGCAGCTTGGTCGTACGTTCAGATGGCCGTTTTTCTTGGCTACCTGTTGCAAAGCGGAAGTCAAGATACTGCTGGCGTTTTTTCCCGCGTAGTAATCCAGTAGCAAATCAAAACCTCTCCCTTCATTTTCCATCTGGTTCACCATAAATCTAGAAAATTCATCTGTAATGCTTTCACAGCTAGACTGCTTTGAGACAGAGCTTGTCTGGCTCAAAGACTGACCAAAGCTGTTCATGAGGCCCAGGGTGTGGATAGAGGCTTTGGAATCTGAGTCCTCCTCTGGAATGCTCTCACAGCTTGAGGCCTTGGCTCGGCTCCATCTTTCACAGTGCAGTCTGTTCCTGGGGTGGTTTGGACCTTGCCAGATGCTGTCAACCATGGAGAGCTCGGTGAGGTTCATGATCTTGGCAGCCACTTCATTTGCAAAGATGTTGACTGAATCAGGTGTGTCCTCGAGGTTTATAGATTCATCTACTACCCGATTCATCAGCTTTTCCTTTAGCTCAGGATGCTCATCTGTTTTTCTTTTGATCTCGCTCAGTCGAGGTGCCCTGTGCTTCCGAACCACTGAACCATTAGTATGGGTTTCCTTTTTCCTTTTCATGGTTCTGCATGACAAACTCTGGGTCACTAGATATTCATTGCCTCTCTTCCATGCACAGAACCAGGGTTGCTTTCCATTTGAATTCTCCAGACAAATGGCAGCTATTTCTGTTGCCATGGAAACAACTGTTTCTGCCAATTCTTCTGCAAAATCTGCTATACAATATTTGTCTCTTGAATTTTTCACCTGTAGTACAGGCTGAGAAGGAAGCAGGACGTGGTTTCCTAATAAAGACAAGCTAAGCTGGACATCGTTATTCAGCACAGAATCACACTTATGCTTGGCTTGGTTTTCTGCATTCGTGGTGGCGCTGGAAGACAGCTGTTCTTGAACACCATGTCTGCATTCGTTGTTTGCAAAGCTATTTTCTCTGTCCGAAAACGATCTGTAATCTTTCTTCTGGTGCTGACTGTTGCTCTGATTCGGTGATTTGTAACAGTCTCGTGCGGTTCTTTTCAGGTATCTCTTCTTGGGAGATGATTTTCCATCGAGTGTGTTATCCTCCGTATCTCCACTTGGTTCTGAGCTCAGCGTGGCCCCTTCATTGCTATTTACATCTTTCATATTACTTTTCCAAGTGCTTGTGACACTTCCAAGATCTTTGCTAGTAGTGGTGCTGTAGGATGTACCGAATGGCTTAGCAGCAGGGTGATCAAGGGGGCTGTGGGAAGTTTCACGTGCTGTTGCTGGTGTTGACCATCCTTCTGCTCTCGTTACCTTCTCCGCTTTTCTGCCCTCGGAAAAGAGAGGGGAACACTCTTCCACTTGCCTTATGTCGCTCATCTTCTTGCAAGTGAAATATATTATATTAAAAAGCAACTCGTTTGCAGTCTCTGTGAAAATGTCTTGTGCACTTGAGCCGTTTTCTGAACGGGGATGCAGCTGCCTCTTCTTCCTGACCTCTTCCATAGAATGCCGTAGGATAATATTGGATAAGTTTTGCGCGAGTTCATCCCTGGTTACCTCATCAGCGTGCGGAACACGCGGCCTCGTTGCTGTTTCGATAATTTTCCCGTTTATGGATTCCATAAAATGCCCTACGTTTTTGTACGTGTCGGGCTTTGTCAGAATGACGGACGCCTCTTTGAGAAGCGCCTCTGCAATGCTCTCGTTTAGCTTTTCCATGCTGCTCCCTATAGCTATGCTGCAGTGCAGAGTAATGGCTGCAGAGGCCTGAGCAGCAGATAGAAGTCCACTTGAGGTCGCAGGGTACTTCTCCTCCTTCGTTTCCCCCAGACCACAGATGGCCACAGCGCTTGCTACTTGAGTCATGCCACACAGCGCAGATGGAAAGGAATACTCGGTGTCAGCAGAGTCATCAAGGAGCTGTGAGGGTGCTGCGTGCACCTCTTCATCTACAACCGCTCTGCTCCTCAAGTCTGCGACTTCTTGGTCCCGCCTGAATTTTTCCGCAGCCTGGGGGCTGGAAATGGTTCCAATGACAGTGGCTGCACAAGCCAGAGCCACTTCCAGCGCACTTTGGTCGTGTCCGTTCGCGTGTTCTTCCTCAAAGTAATCCGAAACTTCAGCAGAGCTTTCTGACTCGGTCCAGTGGCACAGGCTGGGGAAGGCAGGCCCTGGCCAGTCAGGAATGTTCTCAGAGTTGTCTGGACTTTGCACTATGACAATCTTTGGAAGTTCGTTCCACAACCGGGAAGCAGATGCATCTTCTGACTTACAGGAGCTTCCTACAGAGATGCTGACTGCAGCCTCCTCACTGAAGCTGGGTCGAGACTGTGACAGCCTGATGAATGCATCCTGCAGAACAGATTCTGCCAAATTTGTGGCGTACTGACCCGTGGTCCCCTGCTCATTTTGTGAGGGAGGATCAGTCTTCCCGATACCTGCACAGTCTTCCCCATCTGTCTCACTGTTGTGTTTTGTTGTTGGGTCACACAGAGGTTCCGGCTCCTCTTTAGCCATTTTGGTCAAAGATACATCTTCTAACATGAGGGCTGGGCGAGAATTTTCAACCTCACCAGTCAAATTAGTAGTACTAAATGATGAAGTAGCTTTTTCAGCTAATTCCTTCTGCCACGGTACTTCCTGGTCTGACTTATCTTCAGGTTGTAAGAGGCCATCTTCAGCCACAACATTCACAGCTTCAGAGACTTGAGTAGCTCCATTATCTTTATTAATGCAATTCCCTTCAAGGATGAATGGCAACCTGGCTTTTCTGTAGTGAATATTTTCAAATCCCTTTCCTTTATTTTTTTTGACATCTGAAGATGCTTCGGGAACATTTACTTTTTCATGACCTATTAAGAATAATAGATAATCAGGTTTTTTTGCAGAGTACACAGTGCCTTTAAAAAGAAAACAGCTGCACAGCTGTGTACCACATCACTGCTCTGTAAAACTATTGCACAGCCATGTATCCCTGTCTCTGAACAGCAATTTAGAAATATGAATGGCTGTCCATTTTCTAAATTACATATGCATGAATCAAAATCAAGTGCAATTTCTGTCAACATTGCCACAGCAGTTTTGCAGTACCAACAATAGCAGAATTACGCTCAGTCCCACTGCTTTTACCAGCTTTGTATTCATCAGCCTCGTTGTCATCCTCGAGGTGCTCCGATGCCGTGAGAAAATCTTCCTCTATTGAGGACACAGAGCAGTTTGTGTCATCCTCTGGCTTTAAGACACGGGTTTCTATCTGCAGCTGCCTCTCCTGAACGAGCTCAAGTCCAATCAGAAACTTGTTTATTTCAAAAATGATGCAGCTTGCGCTGTTTCTCCTGTCCCCCCTCGCACACTGAACCAAGCAGACATCTGCCATCCAAGGACACTAGAAGGGAAAAGAATCTGAGAGAGTTATCGAATTAAAAAAAAACAAAACAAAACAAAAACAAAAAAAACCCCCAAACCTTATTTTAAGCTTCTTCCTCTATAAATATCGCGAGAATGTTCTGTTGCAAAGATGCGATGTGATTTGTCATTTAAATGTTGATAACACAGTATGCAGCTACATGTGTGCCAAAACAAGACTTCTCGGACTGACAGCTTTCGTTATACAAGCGCTTTAGTAGAGAACCTGGCTGTGTCACAGGAGAGATACTTGGCAATTTTGTTTGTTTTCAATCAGCTCGTTGTTTTAATGACAGAGACTTATTTGCAGTGAGCCACCTGACACGCTGTTATTAATGGCCTCGCACCACCCGGCATTACCTGCCTCTTGAGGGAATTGTTTGTGGGCATGAGTTCCCTTTCAGGTTAATTTCTCTTGCAATGCTTGTTTGAAGGCAGCGCTGTAAATGCTGGCTGACAAGATTAAGAACAGGTCACCTTTAGTGTTCCTACAGCCTGTTTTAAAACAGTGTTTTATTTTGTTTCTTTGCTTCTCTTCCTCTTATTCCTTCTTTTATCCAAAACCCCATTATTTCAGGCCTGTATAACTCCCCCTGGAAACAGGGCTCCAGTGCACAGTGTGATGAGCCTTTATATAAAACTGTCTTACCCAGAGAGGCAGTACAATTAAGCTGAAAGTTGGACAGAAACGGAGAGAAAGGAACTCTTGTTATCCTCCTTTTATTGATATTAAAACTGTTGGACATCTATGCAACGGCAGAGCAAAGTTGATATCTCTGCATGGGACCACGCTTGTTGTGTGGATGTACTCTGAAGCAAAGCCAAGCTTTTGCAAGTTTGTGATCCTGTGCTTTTAACTGCAGGCCCCTAGGAAGGAACCAGCTTGGGTGAAACCAATTTTGGATCGAGGCAGTAAATTTTAAGCTGTGCAAAAGATGCCTTGGACCCGCTGGGTACTTGCACAGTATCTACCATAATGCAACCCCATTCTGGACCTTCTGTGTTTGAGTGTGAATGCAAAGCAAATATCTAGTTAATAAAGACAATGGGATGAGTGCTATGCTGGATTAGCATGTTTGTTAGCCTGCCCTTCCTTTCCACCTAAAAAATGTGTCTGAACAGAAAACCAGAGAAATTAGTGTGTTAAAAGTAAACCAGAAAAGATAGATTAGATAGCTACTATGAAACAGTTACTGAATCAGACATGAGCACACACTGTATTGCAAAAAATGTAATAAAAAAAAGATGCAGCCTTAGATCCAACATTCCCCTGCTGTTTCTCCAGGCCACAGTTTGCAGGGTTACACTTGTGAAAAGGGCTGAGGGGTGAGCTGCATAAAAATCCTTGAAGGAAACCTCTGCCAGTCACCTTACAAATGAAATTCTCTGAAAGCCAAACAAAAGGATGATGGTGACATATCTGACCAATAAATCTCATCCAGTGTCAATGCAAAGATTTACTTGTCTTACAAGACAGAAATTTAGGTTAGTCCCCTCTATGAGAGGGCTGCCTGTCTCGCTGGATTTGGAGATGGGGATGACTTGGGTGCTTGAGTTACTTTGTTTGAGCCTCAAAACACTGTGCGTATTGCAGCAGCTTGCCCCTGGGCTGTGGGGTTGGGAACTCCAGTGTTCCCACCACAGCCCTGTGCTCATATTTTTTTAAACCTTTCTAAATTCAGCCATTAGTCACAAATGGCAAGAAAGCTCAATAACTAGGTAATTTCTCTCTTTAATGATCAGCTTACTGGCATACCATAAAATTCAATGATCTTTGCAATATAGCTGTTACAGGGTCTGCTTCATGAAGACTTTTGTGCACAAGTTGATTTCAGTGCAAAGAAGTTTTCTGCTTCTTTTTTCTGCAGCAGACAAACCTGGCGATACCTGTTCACATCTTTAAGCTTGCTGGGACAGTTCCCCAGGATAATTCTGCACCTTTAATGAATTTGAAAGGTGATTCTGCTGCTCTGCTCCACCCTGTTGAGACCCCACCTGGAGTACTGTGTCCAGCTCTGGGGGTGTCAGCACAGGAGGCACATTGACCTGTTGGATGGAGTCCATAAGAGGCCACCAAGATGATGAGAGGGATGAAACACCTCTCCTATGAGGAAAGGCTGTGAGAGAGTTGGGTTTGTTCAGCCTGGAAAACAGAAGGCTTTAGGATGACATAACTGAGGGCTTCCAGCAGCTGAAGAGAGCCTTCAAGAGTGATGGGACAAAGGGGAATGGCTTCAAACTAAAGAGAATAGGTTTGGATTAGATACTAGGAAAAATCCTTTACTGTGAGGGTGATGAGACACTGGAACAAGTTGCCCAGAGAAATCATGAATGTCCCATCCCTGGAATTGTTCAAGATGAGGCTGGATGAGACTCTGAAAAACCTGGTCTAGCGGAAGGAGTCCCTGCCCGTGCCAGGGGGTTTGGAACTAGATGATCTTTGAAGCCCTTTCCAACCCAAACCCTTCTATGATTCTATTCTATGAAGATCTTCCCATTTCATGAATGGCCCGATGAGATCAGAATCAGGCCCAAAAATATTGACATATTTTCCACTCTCTTTCTTTACTCATACATGAACAGGTACGAAGGATGACAAAAATGGAAGGGAAGAAAATGCTTCTTATTTCAAGAAGGAGTTAAGCTTCTGGAACTTGTGTATTAAAATGTCTCTAAGCATATGTTATCATTTTGCTTCCTTTCTCTATGTGGTGCCACTGAGAGGAATTCTTGGCTTCCAGATCACAGATAGGGAATGTTTAATTGGCGATAATGGGAGCGAAGGAGTCAGCACGAGAACTTTGCCTCTAGCTCCTTTAAATGTTAAATTTTAATTAATGCATTAATTACTTTTTAAGTTGACAGAAGCTACACGAGGTTTCATCTCTGATACGGTTAATGCCACTTGGTATTTTCACATTGATCACATTCAGGCTTACAGTAGCCTCTGGGATCTTCAAGTCCTATCATCAGTCCTTTTCCGAGGTGCATGCGTGGGAGAAGATGCATTGGGAACAAAAGTGGGAAGTGGCAAGACTTCACTTGAAAGGGAGTCTGTAGCAGCTGTGCCCTGGCCTGGCTCTGTGCACAGCAGAAGTGTTACATCTTTCCTTTTCCCCCTCTGTGCTGCCCTTCTGATTCCTGCTGCTCTTGAAATCTGGCCATATGAATCTCATCTCTGCCACCACTGCTAATGTGGCTCAAAGCATTATCAGCTGCAACCCAGGCACCCTCAGGATCTAGAGGGAATAGCAGGATCTCTGGCCTATCTTTGTGTAAATGGTGTGGGTGTGTGTGTGTCCCCACCCACCACACACTTTATCTAACACAAGCCTGTTGGTTTTTTTATGTATGCAAACTGCCACTCATCTCGAACTGCCGTGGGGTCTTTGCTTTCAGCTTCTTTTTTCCCCATGTTCCAAATTCCATCCTTCACAGGCGTGATGTGATCTTAAAGATGAGTTTGATTCCTACCTGGGGAACCTCGTAATCGGCCTGAAGGTTTCCTGATGCTAATCCACTCAGCAGGACTATTTCATTTTCCTTTGGTGGCTGAACGTTCATCGAACTGATGAGTTTAGGGAGGTTTGGTGAGACGCTGATCAACTTCTGTAGGATGAAAGACAGATTTTGCAGTCAGGTAATGAGGTCTGAGTTGCACAGTTATATTTGGAAATACTAAAATGAAATATCACTTATATGCACCCCTTTAGAAAGCTTACGAGAAAGGGATGCTTCAACTAGGTTAAGGATAGAACTGGCAGCATTAAAATGCACATTCTCTCTCTTGAGACACCAGACCAGACATTATGAACTTCTGCACAAGTGTCCAGCAGGACAATGTGCCATCCCTGACATTGTCACGTGCTAAATGGCTTGACTGGGTTTGTGAATCGAAATGCTTCCTATCACAAGTGAGTTCCTGAGAGACTCAAACGCTGCCTCTGTTATGGTCTGAAATGGAAAAGCTTTGTTGGGTGTGGTAACGAGAGCAGGGCAAATCTTCCTGTTTTCCTCCAGGCTTATGACCTTTCATTTGTAATGACACAGTCACTTCCTACACATTACCTATTTGCTAAAGGTAAAAGCAGTGACAGTCACAGCATCAGTGATTTTATGCAAACATGTGAGATTTGTGCTGCCATGCAGGTGGGAGCCAGTCCCCAGCCCGTGCAGGGGACATCTGTGCTCCTTCGTGCACAAAGACCAGGACCAAAGGACAGTGCCTGAGAGCGCAGTCCCCTCTGCCAGGGATCTCTGTGTGCTCGCTCTAAGAACACAAAATCGAGGCTGGCCCCTTACAGAGGGAGCAGAGTAAATACCACCTCCCTTTTAGGCACTGGCAGAGCCCATGTGTCAGTGCACAACACATGGCAGAGACAGTTAGGGAGTGCAGCTCTTGGGCACCCAGCCATGGGCTTTGCTTCGCTTCTTCCTTTCCGTCTTGAAAATATTAAGCTTGCCATACTGCTATTTTTCCTTAAGAGTGAATTAGACACAATGAAACTTTCTGGCTTAGAAAAGCTAAATCAATATTAGAGAACAGTTCACTTTTCAGTAGACTGATCACATGAGACTAAGCATTTTTATTTGACATAACTGAATTCAGTCCTTCAATTCAGTTTGACATTTTACTGTTGTACAAAAAAGTTCTCATCCTTTTCTCTTTTTTCAAATTATAACCTTTCTGTTATCACACACATTTTCCTGCATATCTCTACTTTTCTACTGCCTAAATTGCTACATTTTATCAGATTTCTTAGGTAGGAAATGATGGCATTTTATATGTCTTCAGTTCTTTACATTTTGTTTGGAATTAAAAAAAAAAAGTCTGAAAACATGATTATTTTACACTAAAACCGCCTCAGTTTAACTCATTCCAAGGTTTGGTGGGTCATGCAAAATCCTAGTAGTACCTGTTAGTAAATAAATATTTCCTCACGACCCGCTACAGCTTTTGTTCCTCAGCAAACACTGCAAACAACAATAAAACCACTGCTTAATAGAAAACAACTAGTGCTTCTAGGGATTCAGGAAAGTAAACCCTCTCAAGCTGTTCTGCACAGCTAACGTGCTGATTCAACAGAAAAGTCATTTGCTGCAAGATGCTGCATTTATTTTTTGACAGCTGAATTTTCACAGATCCAGGATGCAGAAAACAGCATAGCAAAAAAAAAAAAAAAAAACCTAACTGGTGGTGCTAGCAAATGACTTGCAGGAGGCATCAAGGTCCCAGCACTGCTTGTTCTCCTCTGAGCTAGAAGTGGTTTCAGCAAACTGACTGGAATGCTCTAATCGAGGAACTCCCTGGGTTACTGCCAGGAGATCCTACCTTTGTTCATTCACTATGTACCTTTCTTATTATTTTTTTTAAATCCCCTCCTTTTTTTTTTTTCTACTCTCAAAACCTTCTGTTAAACAGATAAAAATGTCTTTAGTTCTAGATAAATATCTTATCTAGGCCCCTCCTAAAGACCACACAGTCAGACTATCTGGAGTTTGAGTAAGACTGCTGAGCTGAACGAGACCTAAATGAGTAGAAGGTTTTCAGAGGCTTTTAGGCAGTAGGACAGAGAGACACCAGAAATTCTTTTTATGCAGTATTGTGCCAATTTAAAAAATTGGATGTATGGCACATCCATGTTCGCTTCTCTGATAAAACCAAGGCTGAGCAAGAAATCTACTCATACAACTGCTGTGATTTCACAGAGTGCATCAATCCATTATGTATTTCTGGGATGGGAGCAAGAAAAGTTATAGAACATGGTCCAGGGTTGAGATAGTTACAGAATCCTCATGCATTGCTCTCTTAAGGATTAAAAATCTAGGGCTGGCTTTGATTTGTTCACAGAATTTTAATCTGGGTTTTTACTGGAGAGTTCTGGCACACCCAGCTAGATCAACTGTGAGTGTTTTTAGGACCTGAACAGTTACCTGTTTCACTTGCTCATCGCTGCAGTCATCTCTGTTGGCATCTAAATTCACAAAACAAACCTGTAATAAGAGAGAAAAAGAAAGAGTATTTTATGAAATGGTATTAGAGTGGCAGCAAGCCATTTAAGGTCAGTATATGTTCCTTTTCTAGCCTTGTAGCTGAATATGTGAGGCCTTTTCCTAGTGCAAGGCTGAAAGGTGAGCAAAGAGAGCAACAGAGCAGATATCAAGAAAGGAGAAAAAAAGGAATAGAAGTAAGAGTCATGACTCTGTCTGCTCTAACAATCAGCCTGCCTGATGAACCAGCAAATGTTGCCAATAAACTGTAATACACAGGATATTAGAAAAGGTAGAGGAAATGTTAAAAATGTATTTGACTGTATAGCAGATAAATTCTTCATGTCTTTTTCAAGGGCTTCTTTTTCTTTTCAGGCACTTGTTGCTAAATGTTTCATAAGTGCAACTGTGAGTTGCTTTTCGAGTTTTCCTGCACACCACACAAATATTGGAGTATTCTTCCTGATTTTCCAGAATTTCTGAGTAGAAGTTTAAAACCTTATGAAAATATTTTTTTTTTAATTTTTATTTGTAAGCTAGTATGCAACCAGAAGTGTTCAGCAGTGCTAATCAGCTACTATTATAGGTTGCAGAACTGCCTAGTTAGTATGTGATTTACCAGAAGGTACTACTTTTAATGACAAATTTTTCTGCCCTTTCTTTGATCATTATGATTTCCAGTGACCATTAAATGTTCTGAAGACTTTTACTATATGCTGACTGGAAGGCTATTTTCTAATCAGAAAATCCCTCCTTCCAGCTCTACTTCTGAATTAGAAGCAGGGACTCCAAAGCTAGGCTAGCTGTGAAGTTCACAAGAGTTTGGTGTTGTCTTGTCTTGATTTAAACCAAAACCTAACACGAATTCAAGGTTCAGTTAAAGCCAACACCTCATTCCAAATAAATTACAGATTCAGAATTTAACTGAGAAGAGCTGAGTGATTTCTGTGTCTTCTTTCTTTCCCCAGCAAACACTCAATGCTTCTTATCCTAATTTTATGTAAATGTCCCCTAGAAAATAAAAAATGCTCTAAATGATCATTTTCACAAACATTCTTGTGTTAGGCATCTGAACTCGTGTTGTGTGCCTGCTTTTACCCCAAGACAACCCTGATTTCAGTTTATATATGCACATACCATATGTACAGATTATGACCATCTGCAGTAACAGCCAGCACAGCAGATGGAAAGATCCAGCCAGTATTCCCATTGTACATCAAAAAAAAAAAAAAGCCCCACTCAAAAAGAAAGCTTTTTGCCCTTTTACATAGTTTAATGGCATCTTTATGTGAACTTACAAACGTATTTTCCAACCCTTTTACGATTTCAGCAAAAATATTTCTGTGCCTGATAACGACAACAATCAGGTGTCATCTGGTGAACTTTTAAGAAATGGTTATAGAAATATCTTAGCTATAAAGCCTTAAAAATACCCTCTAGCAACACAATGTGGTGGTTATGTAATGCCTTAAACACGTTGCAGTTTAATTATACAGGCAAAAATTTTTCTTCCTTTTTCCACGGGGTTTTCACGTGTAGGCATTTCACATTCATCAGCAACAGTTAGTTCCTGAGGAGCTTTGTTTCCAGGCTCCCGTGCCAGAGTGGTTAAGGTCTAGTTCTGTACTGGATTTGGGGTGACACCAGTGACACCAACCACCACCCTAAAGATGTGGCCCTTCTGAGCAGCCAGAACAGTCATCTTTGGTTCGTGTGGCGCCGATGGCATTATGACAGTACCAGGCAGGTTGTCATCACTAACTTGCTGAGCTTTCATCCTGAAGAAGTCTTTGCTTTCCAGGATCATATAAAAAGCAAATAGAGAAACTTTGGGTTTTTCTTTTTTTCTTCTCTATTTTTGCATGATAATATCTGTGGCTGATAGGAGGTGTATGGGGAAAATTCTCTAGGTCAGTGGTTTCAAGTTCCTGAAATCTGTTCTTCAGCTGGTGTAGAAACTATGCAGACACCTCACTTCTTAAAAAACTATATATTATGTTTTTTTAAAAATATTACAATATACATACTGTATATATGGGATATTTTACTTGCTAAAAGCTAACAGTCTTCTCACTTAGGAAGAGTAAAGCAATTTCACTTTTCAGAGTGCAAATACTGCCAAACAGCTGAATGACAAGCAAAGAAATACGTGATTGTCTATATTTTCCTTATTGCTTTCACTTTAGCTTGTATTAAACAAGGCTGGTATTACTGGCATTTGGAATATTCCTTAGATAAAAGAGTACACTGATGGGAGGAAAGAAACACTATCTCAGAGACACAATGCTAACAGCAGGAATTTTTTTAAAAAGCCTGTATTTTTCTGAAGTGTCTATTCTAGGCTGAAGTCTTTCTGCTCTGTACTATTCCCCCCAGACAAGACTTGTTTCTTCTGTTTGTTTTAGGAAGCGCTGATGCTTCTCTCTGTTGTCTGTGTCGATGTCTGACAAAGGCTTTTCCTTTGTCCTGTGAAATATGGCTTCTGGTGAAATTAAGGCAAGCCCTAGCTTGTGGGTTTTTTATCAAACTAGCATTTCTTTAAATTAAGAAGAAAATATGTTTGTACTTCAATCCTCTTCCGGGTCACAATACTAAACCAGCAGAGATGTCTGAAGGCTGGGCTCACCCTGCCCCAGCAGTAGCAGCTTTAGAGAGCAGAAACAGCTTTGAGATGCTCAGTCCCTTTTCTCCTGTGAAGTTCCTGAGTTCCTCCAGCTTCCCTTTAGGGAAGAGATCGAACTGAAAATCTACTCTGTCCCTCCCTCTCACTGGGATAATAAGCTGTCCCTCGCACCTTACTGATGTAGTTACTCTGCTAAGTGAAATAAAATCAAACAAACCTGCATTATGTACCACCCTCCCCCCAAAATTTCAATATCTGTTTTAGAAGAAAGGAATTCAAACTGAAGAGACAAGAGTCAAAAATTAGAACTGTATACAGATGGCTTGTGCAACCTTAATTTTACCTCACATGCCCACATTTGTGCAGCACAGGAACAGTGAACAGGAGGCCTGCAAAAAGGGGCAAGATTATGAAGAGTCACAGCACTGTGTATCTGCTATTTTCTGACATTTGAGCCCATGACTTTGTAATTTAAAGGATATTCTTAAAGGTGTTTGTTTCTAATCTGTGAGTTGGTGGGTTACAAGCACGCAGTTAAAGACAGTATCAAAATGGTGGCAGGACTATTTCCAGGTGACACAAATCACTTCATCCTTGTCACTGCACCACTGTATCCACCCAGATGATCCCCAGCTTTGCCCTAGTGTCACTAGCAGGTTGGGTTTGGTGCCACATACCTCAGCATAGGCTAAATTTACGTGTTTGGACGTGCAGGAGAATTGTGTAGAACGCTCCCTGTTCTGTGATGTCTTGGTTGGTGTGTCAGAATGTAAATGCTGTCTGGAAACTGAGTTTATAGAGTCTTTATATCCCAGCTCTGTGCTGTTTTTCTTCTCCCATCCTGCCCTGTCACATCTCCAAGTCAATTTAGACATGCCAGGTGCCAACTCAGATAGTCCAGGAGAGAGTTAGAGGGGAAAACTGATTTGGGACTGCACTGTAATCTGCCCATAAAACTCCTGTTTAATTTCCCACAGACAGAAGTGAGAAAGGTAATTTTCGGTCTCTCCCCAAGAGAGATGTCAGGAGAAAGTAATTCTGAGCAGGCAGCTCCTGGGTGCCAAGCTAAAGCAGTTTAAATACCTAAGCCTAAGGACATGTGGGATACAACTGTGTGACATAGGGAGGTGAGCCCAGGACTGAAGGTAGTTTTATTTACACAACCAGCCAAAGTTGTGTCAGGGCTATGTCCTCTCTCTCCTGGTTTGGGTGATACGGGGGTGAAGCTCTCCCAGCATGGCTTTTAAATGACCACACATCTGACTGGGCTTTGTTTTCATCTCACCTTGTGCCCAGTGTGAGTGATGTGCATCTTGCCCCCATGCAGTGATGTTCTGATTGTTTAGCATTATCCTTTGAAATGCTAAACGCTTGGCATTTTCCTTCCCTGTTGTTTCCCCTCCGTATTTTGGACAGGTATTGTTTGTTCTCAGGGTGTGTATTGTTTCTTATACACTATCCTAAACACTTTATCCTCTGAAGATACAGTTTGTGAAGAGGGTGATCGAATTTTACATCAACTCTGATTGCTGTGACAGTTGTTTTAAAGGACTTAATGGAGTCTCTGAGCTCAATAATTTCTGCTCTTAGCAATAGTTCTGTGATAGGGCAGCAGGTTTGGAATTCTGAGCATATTTTCATCCTCATTTCATCTGTGCAAAAGTAGAAAAAACAATACAGTGGCTCTAAAGTTTTATTAGACCTAAGTCTGAGCCTCCTGGCTTTAGAAAGATAGTTTAGATGCCCATAATTTCCCCACAGCACAGTAACAGAATATAGCTGCTCCAAGGCATCACTCACTGGAATGGTGACTATTTCATAGGATGTACAGCTGCATGACGGGCTCCCTTAGGAGCTGAAGTCAGCAAAAGCCCCAGGAAAAATACTTTTACTCTGTGTTTCTGAGCCAAAGCAAACCGTAACCCACAGAAAAAAAAATATCAAAGGGGTGGCACTGTGCCAGATGTTGTCCAGAAATTTGCTGTGAGCTTTGTCTCTTTGAAAATGACCAGAAACAGCATGGCATAAATGGCACAAAATACCTTTTCCAGCAGATTCTAGCGATGTGTGTGTGTGTGTACATATTCTGTCTGTAAGGACCCCTAATCATTGACCTCTCTGTTCTTTAAACTTATGATTTCTTGAATCTTGTAATCCCAGTAGAGTTTCAAGTATCTTTTATGTTTTGGGGTTTTTTTGTTTGTTTGTTTTAAGAAGAAAACCCATAGCTGTGAAACGATGATTTCTAAATAAACGTTCTAAAAGGACGCATAAGATTACCCATTAACTAATAACGAAACAAACTACCTAATAATTTTGGAGAGCCTGGGATTTTTTTTAGCACCTGGGTTTGGTAGGACTTGTGTGAAAGGAGGCTGAG